TTTTTATAATTACCAAGAGCAGATTCTCACTAAGTGAGATTAAGTTATAGTAACCTTCCTTTAGCATGCTGGCCAGCAGTGGGGTGAGATAACATTTATATCATCAGATCATAAAACAAAAAAAGCCTAAATAACATTACAGTCACTTTGTGTTTTTGAAATAGTTGAAATGTTTAAACCTTGGTGTATCTAAGTACCTTACATAGGCCAATTCCTGGCTCTTAGACAAGAACCTAAAGAAAGCAGGATGCTTTTGTTGCTAAACAACTAAATGAATATTAGCATTTAAATTAAAAGTAGATGTTTATTGTGCTAGTGTGTTACATTTAAAAGATTAATTAATTTACACATCTTTACCAGAGATGCTAATAAATGTTGAGAGCCCTCTACTTTGATTTAAATCCTTATCTCAAGTTCACTGTTTCCTTTTATTGACCTCAAATTGTCATATTTTAATGACCACAGAGGGTCTATTTATCGACCTGTCTTTTTTTTTTCTTTTCTTTTTTACACAAATACCACCAACCCTCCTCCTTCAGTGCTCTGTGGTCAGTCTATAATATTAACGACCACTTCTGTTGCTTTCTGTTTTAACAGGATCAAACATCCGAGTCACCAAGTGCATTGAGTTCACACCGGAACAATTTTCAATAAGTGCTCATTAAAAATCACAAGAGGTCCAGGTGACAAAAACAATTCTGTCCTGTACCATTTTCTCCCAGAAACATCCTCAGTTTACTCCTCCCAAAATAAAAAGAAAGAAAATACTTGGAAGATGCTCCAAAAAACTATTCTAGTTTGTCTGTTAGGACTCAAAGATCCTATGTCAATGTATTAATGTTTAAAATAAAAAGAAAATAAAGAAAAAAAAATATGGCTTTCATACACAAACACAGCCCCTGCTTCATAAAGAATATACTATAATTAACACTTAGTCAAACGATTTACCTTCTTATATTCAATTAACAACTGTCTGATGCATTTTCCTCTCTTTGATATATACTGGAATGTCTGGGACCACATTAATCATGGTTTTGTCCCAACACTGTGCTTTAAGTATGGCTGACTGATGAACACTTCTGTAATATCTTTCAGAGATCAAATAGAAAACATCAAAAGGTCATCTCTATCTATATTAAGGGAAAACTTACAGTGATACTCTCATCCCGAGTGAAAGACATTTCTTTTTTTATTATACTGCAATGATAAAAACTTTGTACTCCAAAAGTCTCTTTCAACCTTTAGACACATTTTCCACTTCCTTGTACTGGTTCCGCTGGGTTATCTGGAGTAAAAGTGACATGGATTTAAGCTGAGGGTCCTCGTGGTTTCGTTTGTAGCTATGTACAGTATGGCTTCTCCAAGTGGAAGAGACACAGAAAGCAACGCGGTTGTCTAGAGAAAGACAGCGGAGTTAATTATTGTTGCGGAGATTTGAGTCTTTAGGGACAACCAGTCAAATGTGTCCATGTCCTGTTTTCTTTGAAGGCTGCTGTCACTAGTTCAGAGGAAATTTCTTATGTCATATTTTTCAGATTGCAGTTATTCAACTCATTGTCCAATTAGTAACGTCCTTAGAGGCTTAGTGCCCTGCCATTTCTGTCCTTCATGCCCTTTTCAGTGTCTCTCAGTCTGTCATGTCACTGCATTTTTCATTTTCTCCCCTCTCCTTCATCCCATTGAGGTTCAGTCTTCCTCGGTGCCTGCAGCTCCCCTCAATCCATTCATACAGAAAGGCAGGCCAGAGGAGAAAGGGCTGTCAGAGGGAGAGAAACCACTGAAGGGTGGTAGCCCGGCCAGCCGCTGTAAGTGTGGGAAGAAGGTCGGTGGGGGTCCCTTGTGGTGGTCTGATCGTAGCTGCAGGCCGTCGCCGTGCCCCGTGCCATGGTGGTGGGAGGGGGGCAGCTCTGGTGGAGCGTAGCGGATAGTGCTCGGGGCGTATAGGCTCTGAGGGCCCTGTGGGCCGAGAGCAAGGGGATGAAAGAGGACCCGTCCAGCTGCACCGCCTGCCAGTCTCTGGAGCAGTTCGAAGTCGGGGCCATTACCCGTTCCCCCACCGGACGCGCTGCGACTGACCACCCCAGAAACAGCCCTGTCCTCACGGGGCTGAGGGGAGGACACGGACATGGCGGGGGACAGGGCTGGAGAGGGAGGGGTGAACAAGCCTTTAGACGGGGCTTCGCTGCTGGATGAGGAGTCAGGGATTGGGGTGGTGGGGCTGTCGCCGTTTAAGCTACTAGACGGTGTGTGTGCATGTGACAGCTGGGGCTGAGAGGTGTGCGTGTGAGGGGTTGAGGTTTGCGTGTGTGACCCCCAGCGCCCTCCAGTGGTCAGGACTTCATGTTCAGTTTTGATGGTGGGACTGCCTGGCATAGTAGACGGGGTCACCACACTCTTTAGTTGCTGGATCACAGCCCGCCCGTTGTGCACCCTGCCTGCTCTGTCTCCTCTGGTTGGGGTGTCCCCTCCTCTGCTCTGTTTACCCCCTCCCCCGCTGTCTTCCTGCTTCAGTCTGTCACTGTCTCCCCCCTGGTCCCAGTCTGGTTCTTCCTCCTCATCCCCCTCGCTTTCACTTGCTAAGTCTGAGGAGGCAGACACAGCCTCCTCAGAGTGTCTAAGTTCCTCCAGGCGACGACGACTTTCAGGAGGTGCTCCCTCATGGTCAGACCTCAGCAGGCGCTTCCTCCTGTCCTCTGATTGGACGGCAGGAGCAGCAAATTTCTCTCTACCTTTGCTATCAGAGTCACTCTTTCCCGCTGAGCTCTTCACAGATGTTTGACCTGAGAAGGAAAAGAATTCAAATGAGGAGAGGAGATACTGTTTACCCTCCATATTTGTCAAGTCACAGCCAATAACTGTGTACTTTTTGAGGATCTACCAAAATTGGACTTTGAAGAAACACCTAATATCATTGTTTAATGCAAAATAACCCAAACTAATGCAGATTATATGGAGAATAAGGAACGTCTTGTTAAAATATTCACAGGGATTAAAAGTTAGATTAATGTTTGGACCTTGATTGATCCATTCAAACAAATGGCTCCAAAACATACAGCTGTACTTTTCGGGGCATGTTCTGGTTGCCGTCTGGCTGGAAAGTGAAACCTCTGTTCTTGTCTTAAGTGTTTTGCAGCTTCCATCACATTTTTTTCTGTTCATGTATTCCCTGACACTTTTTAAGAAACCCATTCTCACATAACGATGCCTTCACCTACATGTCTCTTGTGATTGTGATGTCTTAATAATATTGCTCATCACACCCTTTTAGAAATTGGCCAAAATCTTCATTTCTTGGAGAAAAAGAAAAAAAAAAAAGAAAAAGCAAACTGTGTATGATTTCCTTTCAGTTCACCTCTTTCATGAATAGAGGTTTTCCTATTCGGACATTCTTTTCCTGAGCTTTGGATCTCTCTCCATGTACATCTTTTAGTAACACTCTCCTTGCTCAGCTTGTCATATCCAAAGGAAAGCCATGAAATGTCATGAACTGAAAAGTTGTAGTTCATATATTCATTGCATAGAATATTCCTTTAAAACCTAAGTCTGCTTTAAGTTTCTTCACCTTTTTTACCACTAGACTGTCTCTCTGGGCCTTTTACAGAAAAGTAATTTTTAGTAGTGGTGTCTTCCTGGAACTGGGTTTATCTGGATCGCCTTCAGACTGTGCAAAAATGCATAAGCAAAGTTTTAAGTGATGCTGAGAGGAGGGACTATCTAACCCCTGTCCTTTCCTCATTGCAATGACATTAATTTTAGAATTCAGTTTCAGATTCTAGACTCAACATTTTGGTGCAGTCCATGGTCAAGCCCCAAATATTGTGGACAAATTGCAACCCCCGTCTTCTTCCATGCCTCATTTTAGATCAGTTAAGATCGAGTTATAAGACAGTGGCCTATTAGGCTCTAAAACTTCCTTCCACTCTCTTTCTCTCGTTGCTCAATGTTTCGCTATTATCTTTACTTTTGTTCTTTCGCAGAACTTTGAGATTTTCATTCATTAAATGCACTGTATTCATAAACAAAAGGGCTCCCATATCTAGGTTGTTTCTGAAAACAATTCACTGTTTTGTTTAGGGATATTAGAATAACAACAAGCTGAATTGAAATGCTTGCCCACCTTTAAGACTTTACCAAAAACATTTTTAAACAAAACATCCTTTTTACCATCTACTTCACAAAGATGCACCAGATTTTGCTGGTCTATCACATAAAATTCTGTGGTGGTAACGTGACAAATTCCAAGAAAGTAAAAAAAAAGTATGAATGCTTTTGTACGGAACTCTTCATGGAGGTATTTTCTACAGGCATGACTGGTAATGTGCACTACCTCTGGCCTGTGGAGAGCCATCAGTGGGGGACGAGCTAACTCGGAGTCGCTCTGCTCTTATGCTCTCAGGTAGCTGCAGCAGATCCAGGGGGGTGTCAGGCATCTCAGTTCGACTGGATGGACAGAGAAGAGATATGAACAAATGCTCAACCACTTGAATCCACTTACAGGAATAAAAAAATCCAGCACCACTAGTTACAATGAATACTAAGAGACCGAAACAACATATAATCAAGCAAATAACAACCTCCAATAGCCAAACTCCCTCAGTTGCTTCTAACCTCTGCCTAACACACTCCCAACCCCTTAAACAGTCCCTAATAAACAAACATAGTCATTAACACACACACAAAAACACACACTTTGTCCCATTCAGCAGCCCACCTATACAAAGTTAAGCTCCGACAAGGAGAGGAGGCTGTTAGAGAAGTTAATGAGCTCTTGTAATTACAACACTAATTAACTAAAACACCATTCAAACCTAAAATTCTGACATCCATTTGTACTAATTATATAGCTTCAGTGTAATTAGCATTGAAATTCAGCCTACTACTCTTGCTTTTGTCTGCTCTCTTGTACAGCCAGCATTAGCTATTCTGGAGATGCGTTTGTGGGTATGTATAAAATACATTAAGACATAAACAAGAGTAATACAACATTTAAAAGGCAATTTATATTTAAAAACAAAGGTGGAGACATTTGAAATGTTGCGTTACAGCCTAAAAGCTTTTCAATAGGATCATATCTGCTAATTTAGAGCAACAGGGCTGAATAACAAGAAGGTTTTTGTTATTTTCCTGAATACTAATATCATATCACACCACAGAAACTATGCTGGGTATCTTCTATAAGTCTGTTGGGGAAAGTTTGATCTCTTTCATCATTTGCTGGGTAAAGATCTTTAAAAATATAAGTTTTCTATTTCTTGAGATTATTTCACAAAGAAGAAGATTATGGAAAACAGTGAGCATCCTCTTCAGAAGATTGCTTCACAACAAAAGAGCTTTTTCAGTCAGAGGCCTCTCCAGATCTGGTGCAAGACAGACCTCTACAGAAGATCCTTTCTGCCAACAGCTATCAACACCTATAACAAGTGGTTAAAAAGAAACCCTATGAGTTACTGCAACGTTGAATTCAAATAAAGTATTTTGGAATTCAATTCAATTCATACTTTACTGACAAAAAGAAAAATGAAAAGTAAATATTTTAGGTAGTTATTTCAACATAAAAAAAAGCATGTCGAGACCAATCCAGAAATCTTTTGTCAATTCTGCTGGCTCCTACTAGAGCAACTTGAAGGTTAAAGAGCTAAATGTTTGCTAAAAGTTCTCAAAAAGCAATCCAACATGCCCCAACCCAACATGCCACAACCCGACATGCCCCAATCAGACATGCCCCAACCTGACATGCCCCAATCCGACATACCCCAACCCAACATGCCCCAACCCAACATGCCCCAACCCAACATGCCCCAATCCAACATGCCCCAATCCAACATGCCACAATCCA